TTCCCATCATCCTGTATTTCATTCCCCATATGAACTACAGCACTCCTTTCTCCATCCTCTGCTTGTACACCCCTTTATGTCCTTCTGCAGAATCCTTTTCCTGCAGACATTATCCTACTTAAATCTGGGACAGCATTTCAAGTAAAGATCACTCAGAGCAACAGCACTGCTATGCCCAAGCAGACCTAACTCATTCAGCACTGCCAGGAGCAGTGTTGTTGAACACGTGCTCGGGCTATGGACATCGGTGTCACACTGCTGCTGCCAACAGCTTCAAAACAATTTCCAGGTTTAATCCCACTTAAAGATCATTGTGCAGAAGGCTCAGACATGGATAACTCCCTATAATTCTGGGGCAGGCCAAAATATTATTGATCCTGAGTCAAAGTTATGTGATTCTGTATTTGCTATATTCCATCCCACACTATAGCCAAGCAGGTTCAGCTTTTCACACATTAAATGTCTCAATATGCCATTAGCTCCAGAAGCAGCATTACAGGACTGTAACCACATATGACATAAACAACCTACAAGAGCAACAGAAGCTATTACCTTCAATGCCCTAATAAAAAGAAACTTAAGTCCTATATACTGCATTTGAAACATTAAATAAACTATATTTCACAATGAGAAAAACATATATTATAGCTTTCTGGGTTAGGAGAAATATTACCCATGCCTTCATTCAAAACAGGTGCCTCAAAAAATTTACATGAGTGGAATGGATTGGTGAAGCACTTCTGATCTATCTCTTTAATTATACATGATCACATAGCTACCTGCATGAAATCCGCCTGAAGATACACAGAAAGTGTTTCATCTCTGTGATTTCATAGCTTATATTACCAAATAAACAATCTGGTAGGCACAAAAATATGAAAATTTGCAAGAGTCTGAAGAGAGGTGAATAAAAATGGAGAACAAATAAGGAAACCAACATATCCAGCCAGACCTCAAAAATACGGAGGTCAGGGATGGGGAGGATGAGGAGATAAAAGTCAATTAGAAAAGAAAAAAAGGTGCATATTTCTACTGGCATATAGGTCTACCCCCCTCCTTTCTTTTTTTTCTCCAATCACCCAGCCAACAGAAGGTACCAAAGGCTATCACGCCAAAGATTTATTACTAAAATAACAACAACAAAAGATCCTTGACATTATCAAGCTTATTCTGTTATTTTGTTTATTTCCAGGATTGGTGAAATTTTGGTGTTGCTCTTCCAGACAAAAAAGAAAGGGAAAATAGAAGCAATTATTTAAGCAGCCTGGTAAAATAGGATTTAAAAGGCAAAGTCCTCAGGCAAGCTAGGTCTCCTCACAGCAACACGACAATCAATAAGCATCAATAAGCAATATTCATATAGTAGATATAGTGGAAAAAAAAATAAGGATGACATCAGGTGAAGTCAACCTTGGTCAATCATTTTAAGGATATATACACTATAAAGACAGTGAGAACAATCAAGTTGCTTTAAGTGTACAGATGTTCAAAGTTACCAAAATTACCTTACCCTATCTCTCTCCTTCCTCCTCTTTATCCTACTTGCTTGTTGAATCTTGTCTCTATTTTGGTTCAAATCCTCCAGTGAGGTCAACATGGCAAAATGTGACCTTGCAGAACACCCTGGAGGAGCTGTGCAGACACAGCTTTAACTCACTTTCTAGGATAAGTGTCTTTATTCTATCAACTGTTGTCTTAGGAAAGATTTTTTTTTTTTTAAATGCTTTGAAAAACAATTTATTTTTTGTGGGATTTCACAAAAAGAAAAAAAAACTATGGAAGAATCTTGGATGGGACTCAAGTTCATTTCAATTTTTGTTTTGCTATCCACCTGCATGTCACTTGCACCCAAAAAGCCAAAGGGATAAGCTTTTTTTCTTTAGGTCTTAACACACAAGTTGTAACAAAAATCAAATATAGAAGCAAGTTAAAATCCCTTAACAACAGGGTCCTTTATCTACTGAGGACAGAAAAAAATAGTAGCAAGGAGAGAAGAAATTGAACAACTTACTGTGCAGTTCATGATGAATCACATCTACCAGGTTTGGCTCATCACCCCACCAGAATATCCACAGCTCCTTACAATCCGGTTTGACGTCGCGGCGCCACACGCAGAGCAAGTTGGCTTGCAGGCAACGGATGAAGCTGAGCAGGATCGGATCATCCTGCGCCGGGGCTGAAATGATAGGGCCACAGTCCCCATGCCCTTCAAAATTGTACCTACGCCATTTGATGCCAGTGAGTTCAGCCTAGAAAAGTGGAGGGGGGGGGGAGAAAAAAAAAAAAAAAAGCTTAAATCCACTGATTTGAGACTCAAGTTACAATACTAGAATTGGTTTGTTTTGTTTCAGTTGGTCATTTAAATTCACAGAATTCAGCTCTAAACAATCAAAAGTATAAAAAAATAAAATGCCACACAAAGCACACACGAACGCTGACAATGCCTGTATTTTCTCATTTTCCCTAGGGAAAAAACAGAAGAATTTTGGAACCAGCATTGAGTAAAAACATGGCTTATCCCTGCATTTAGGCTTTTCACTGTAACCAAACTCATATCCAGCTGAGTTACTACAGTTGTAAAAAAAAAAAAAAAAAAAAGGCCTGGTCCCCCACACAGGGCAGTATAAGTTCACCATCTGTCCAGAAAGTTCACAACTTGGTAGTCATGACCAGAAATTGTTCCAGGACATGGGCAAACGTATGACCCAAGGATAAAGGCTTCAGATTGCGATGTTACATATTTACCACATGCTTTTTATTCTCATTTTTCTCAAACGAAGGGAAGCATAAAGGGGAGAACTGCGATTTACTTTTCCTTGTGCAGCCAGAACCCTGTTATTAACTGCCACGGCAGATAAGGAGAGGAGGAAAACAGCTTTGCAGCCTCGGGGAGGTTTCCTGGGTACGAGGGGAGGACGAGGACGCGCAGGTGCTTCGCGCAGCCGAGCCAAGAAGCACTTGCTGGGCAGCCGAAGAGCTCAAAGCCCAGAAGAGCTGACAGCTAGAACCAGGTCAGCAGAGCAATGCTTCAAGATTTATTTTCATTTATTTTCTTTTGAAATAGCCGAATCTCAGAGCTCTCCCCTCCCATCTTCTCTTCTCTATGAAATACCCAGACTGCTCCTTTTTAAATCTCTATGACCGTCTTCTTCCCTCACCCTTCTCTCCCCTGCCCTGCTGCCCGGTTCCCTGCTTCTCCTTGCTCCCAGCTCATCCCCAGGGCTGTTTCTGCTTCTCCTTCTCACCTCTGGCTCTGGGAGCCAGCCCAGGGCACAAGCGGAAGTTCTCAAGCGACTTTTGATCTAGCTGGCACGGGTAAAGTTACCAAAACAGTGGTAAATATATGCTCAGCATTCACCGTGGACCTGTATCAGGGTTTCTAACACACGCTAGCACACTCTTCCTGCTGTTACTTATTGTTACTTCATTTAAAGCATTCCTAGCGGGGAAATTACCAGGGCACGCAGCTCTTGTGATCCCAAAGAAAAGCCAAGTCCACAGCATTGAGCTGCAAACACTCAAACACAGCAACAAACCTCTGACAGGAAAAGTCACTGCCAGACACAAGAGGAAGATGAAGCAGTGCTGTGGAAACATGCTGGAAGTGAATGAGTAGTAAATTAAGCTGTATTTAAACAGCAAGTCTGCCTTTCATCTCTGCAGACACAATATACAGAGAATATGAATGACGAAAAGGGTCAAGTTTTCCTCCTAAAGATAATAAATATTTTATATATATATATATATATATTCCTCTCATTTTAATCATCTGGAGAAGGAAGTTTAATCTCCTGTCTTGCACTACTCCATCCAAAATCCATATAATATTTCATACATAGAAAGAGCCCCCTCCAAGTCCACAAAATTCCTTCACTATCCCTCCCTAAAAAAATCTACTTTGCTAAGTAGATATGGTTTCCATCATATCAATAACACAGACAAAAAAAAATACTTGTATTTCTTTGATCTTGCAAGTATATCCTTTAAAAGAATTTCACCTTATTCTGCCTAAATATTACCCAGCAGAACAACATTCTGTTCCACAACTAGTGGTCCTGCAAGCACACTTCTAGGACACATCTACCATCCTTCATGTGATAGGGAAAGTCCAACAAACCACTCAGCTGCAGGGAAACATGTTTACATGTCATAACCCATCAGGATCATGAGATAAACTTGGAAGAAAAAAATAGGAAAAAAAAAAAAAAAAGGAAAGAAGCACCAAAACAGAATAACTTTTACTCTGAAGCAGAGAGCTTCTGCTCTTTTCTACCGACAAGCTCCTCCAGCTCTCTGGTAACTCAGCAGGATTAACCCCTCACTTTCCATCCTCATTACAGTGCAGTCAAGCAAAGCACACAGAAACCATCTGATCTGTGCCCAATTTAAATTTGCTCTAACAACCTTCTGGACTACAGGCTGTGAGGAATGACTAGTGCTAGGGCTAACGGGGAACCCAATGACAACCCACACAGAAAACGCCTCCTACAGAGAGGACGAGCACTGGGCATTCAGGCTTTGGAGTTGAGTAAAATTCCATCTCACGCCTGGTCAAAATGGCAGAGTCTGCGTTTATTTGGAAATACTCATTCCTGCCTGAAGCTTTAATAGGTGGCATAAATACTAAGCCCAGGGATAGCTGAGAGAGGCACTGCAGGATCTCCCCTTCCACCACGGGCTCCAAACAGAAAGCACAGACCATTAGACTGCACCCATGCAGGTCCTGGAGCAGCCCAAGAAGCCCTCTACTTCATGGCAGTGCTGCCATAAAATGCCTAGGGAGATGATCCAACTAAAAACCACAGGCATTTTATTAAGCAATTCTTCTCTCAATGCAGCTCAGCCCCAAAGCCTGCTTCATCAAACTCAAGCCAGGAAGGCAGAGGCTGGGAGAGCTGGGCAGGGTGAGCAGAGCTGCTTCTCTGAACAGGACCCTGCGCTGGAGCAGCCCCTCGTACTCACAGGGCCCAAGCCACGAGCACCGAGCTGACCAGGCTGCTGGTCACATGGAGCTGAGCAGATACGAGCATGGGCTGAAGTGACCACCTTGCCCGCTGCTGTAGCCCATCGGTCCTGCAGCTTTTCCTACATGCTCCACATTGGCTTGGGATGGTTGCTGCAACGTACGAACAGCACTGACAGGACTAGCAAAGAATGAATTTGCAAATACTCAGAGCTAACCGACGCTGATAGTAAATCATGCTTTACGCAAAAGACTTTGTGCTTTGGTTTATAAAGGAACATATGTTTTCCAGGAGGGTGCTGCAATGGATTCAACTTCCCAGAAGAACAGATATTTTCTTTTAACTCTGTAGATGCAGAGCGAGATATTCATACGAAGCTTGTTCTAAATGCACTGGATGCACCAGCTTGTTCTAAATTCACCAGGCCTGAAAGGGAACAAAACCAAAATGTAATGAAAGACACCACCACCAGTGCCCCAGATCTCTAGCATTAACCTAACACCCACATTTTCCGACAAGACTCTACAGTAAAAATTCTCACGGCACTAAATGATCTGATTCTGACATAACCAAAACCTGCTGCCAGTGTGCAAGAGTTCACACCTAAAACTTCACATAGGCATTTGAACACACTCGAAACAAACCCAAGAAACAGGTATTAATAAAGACATAGTCCTGCCAACATTTTCATCCAGAAACACGGCCAGAGAAAGAATAGCACAAACCTTTGAAGCCTTTTGAAGAGGAGTGAGAACCCAGATGTCCTTCCTTCTAGGTGACTTTATTTCAACCATTAGACTCAGCAGGATGAAACAGCCTCAAAAGAGAGCCTTCAAAGAGCCTTCAAATCCCATCTCCCATATAAAAAGCAAGAGGAAGACAGAGAGGATGCAAGTGAACAATTTCTTCACTCTTTCTAACAACTATTAGACTGCTGTGTTAAACACAGACACCTCCACTTCGACCCACAACGGCTGCAGGTCTTGGCCGTTTTAATTCCAGGACAGAACGTAGAGCTGTAAATGCCCAATAGATAGAAACCCAAGCTGTCCGTCCCCCCGTCACCACCACAGCTCAAACCAGAATACTCGACAGGCAGGAAGGATCTTTTGCAGCTCTCAAAACACCATCCAGATGGGCAGAGGTCAGGCTGCTAAAAGCCACAATTCCCCAGTCCCATTTCACAGAGCACAACCTGGCCCTGGCTGGCGACCAGCAACCCTGAAGATTTAATTAGTGCTGTGTAGTCACTGTGACTCTTTTCCGCAGTCCTCGCACAATGGATCTCCCTCCTCCTCCTCGCTTAGCTCCACGAAATGTTCTTGGGCTCTGTGTTGTACAGGAAATCCAGAGACCTAATCAAGAAGCTGCGCCAGACGAGCCCCTTGAAGGGGTTATATGAGAAGGCAGATGCAGCAGAACATCTGGAGTTTGAGAAATATTTACACTGTGTGTAGAGCAAAGTGATTTCTGCATAACTGTATCTTTCTCTAAGTTTTAGTCATCATTTTTAATGTAATCAACTACTATTTTTCTTGCCTCGCATAGTACCTAAGGATGGGAAAAGCCAAGAAGGATTCAGGGCTTGGCATGTGGAAAAAACGGCTTACATCCACATAAGTAAGGATATACAGAAAACCCTTGGAAGCTCTTATGAGCAAAAGAACTAGATATCACCAAGCCACTCGGCTCCAACCCTGGCTTTCTTGAGGACTTGCATCACGGTGGTTTGAATCATTTTATTCTTCACAGTTCTCCTACCCAGAGGAGGATGAAAAAAGTATAAAAATACTTAGCACCCTTTTGGACAGAAACCTGGACTTCAAGGAAATAAATCAGTGCTTCAAACATAAGTTTCTCTCTCTTCAGATAATAATGCAAGATATCTTCACTCTTCAGTCATGTACTGGTAAAAGCAGGTTTCAATTAACAGAGAACATAAAAATTAATGAGCTATCTACAGCACACCATCTTTAAGCGATGACACATTTCTCTCAAAGCAGCTGAAAGCATTCCCCACTGTTTGTAACAACTCATATGGTTACAAACACCAATGAAGAAAAACTTAATGAAACCCAGTAAGATCCATATTCAGTGAAAAATCCTGACAGAGTACAAAACCAGACTGGGATGTGCACTGGAAGATAAAGTGGAATATTGGATAACAGCCCCTTCACTCCATCTATCCAAAACACAACTGATACAACAGTCCTGGGAAAAACATGTTATGTAATTGTATGACCACAGCATATGCCCTTCACATGTGGAAGGATGTTAAATTGATC